ATCTTACACTGTCAAAGATCAAACTTTTTGTTTCCTTTTTTCCCTCTTGTTCTTTAATAATTGTTTATTGTGTATTAGGTTGGAGTTTACATTTTAGATCATCAATTTTGCAATCAACATCGTAAACCACTTATCAGACTCACCAATAACTTACCCTGCCTCCTTCTGCTGCCCTGCCCTCCCCTGATTTTTCTTCCCCTTGTGGAATACTATCCTTCCCTTCACTCAAGTTAACGCCTGTTTGCCCTCTAGCCCAGTGGTTCTCAACTCTCCTAATGCCGCAGTCCTTTCATACAGTTCCTCATGTTGCGGTGACCCCGAACCATAAAGTTTTTGTTGCTACTATTATGAGTTGGGTGACCCCTGTGAAAGGGTTGTTCAACCCCTCAATGGGGTTGCGACCCACAGGTTGAGAACCACTGCTCTAGCCTATTGTTTCATCTTCCCTCCTTTGCCTTCTCCCCCCACCCCTACGTAACCAGTAAGACTTGTTTCCTTAAGTGTGAAAATTTTGTCTTGAATTTTACTTTATAACAGTCTTTTGCAACACTTGACCTTTTGCGATTGACTGACTTCACTCAGCACAATGTGTTTTCCAGGTCCATCCACACCACGAGCGGCTTTGCCATTTCATCATTGTTCTTTAGTGATGGATAGTATTGTGTTGGGCGTATGTACCAGAGTTTGTTTATTCATTCTTCCACTGATGGCCATTTAGGTTGTTTTCATCCTCTTCCCATTATAAGCACTACTATGATGAACATGGGTGTGCATGTATCTGTTCATGTTACGCCTCTGCTGGATCATAAGGAATTTCTACTCTCAATTGTTTGCTGTAGTGCCATACCACTTTCTACAGGGGTTGCACAGTTTATAGTCCCACCAGCACGCCGTGAGGGTTCCCATCGCTCTCCACCCTCTCCACCATTTATTATTCTGTTTTATCTTTTAAACCTTCCAGTCAATGCCAAGGGAGTCATACTTTTGTTATGTTTTGAATTAGAAACACTTTATGTGAGATATGAAATATCATTGAAAACTTTTTTTAAGGTTAGAAAGCCTGATCTACAGTAAATATGTGTAGCGTATCAGGATGGCTTATTCTTGCCCTGCTGACGAGTGACTAATGAACCTATTTCCCCACATTCCTGGGCTTGTGTTTCATGGGCATTCTTTTCATTCTGAGCATCCCAGTGGTGAGGAGCACAGAGGGAGGTGGTTGAGATATGGCAGTGTGGCGTAGCATGGAGAGCACGTGAATGGACTAGGGTGGAGCTTTGGTACAATACGGGTTGTGACCTTGAGCAAATCAATCTACTCATCTAAGAAACGGAGGCGGAGGAATTAGATATATTTTCCCCTTAATCTCCAAATTTGCAGAAGATTTATTATGTTTTGTGGCTGGTACAGAACAGTTAGTTGACTCAGTGGCAACCCAAAACATCATTCCGATTCCAGCTCTCTGGTTTAAGCTGATCAGAATTGCTTTGCACTTAAATCATTATGCTTAACTACCTCTTTGTAAGATTGATTAAATCGCCATGTTATCTTTTTTGCTTTTTTCCCCTTAGCTTTTAATAAATAGTATGTACAATTGTGTGGTTTTTTGGTGAGTCTTTTGACAGATTGTGTAAGATCCTATTTTAGTTTTCTTGTCAACATAAACATGT